GGACTCCTGTATATTCTCCGGGGCTGTAGCATCTGTGACACTCTGGGCGGCGCCCATCCCACCTTGTTGGCAGCCTACCGGCTGGATCTTACCTCGTTCTCTGCATATGGACTGAACTTGAAAACCAGGTTAGTGACTCACATGGATAATCATCCTCTGTCAGATAATCATGGTCACTAACCTGTGTTTCTCTACTGCTGAGGTTCCAGCCTTGGATACCCTAGCCGCTGCTACTCCAACCTGTTTTTAAATAAACCTTTTTGAGTAATCCCACTGTCTGTCTAGCCTGAATACTGGGTCCTCTATTCTGAGTCATAAAATCATGTCTTACTGTGAGCTTTTATAACTCCTCACACTCCCAGGCCGAACACTAGACAGATGCTTAAATGTTTCTTGCTAAGTTACTGGATTTCTTCTAGTACCTTGTTTTTTATCTCACCTCCAGCTGCAGAAGCGTCCTTGACTGACTGTTCTTACTGACCGACTTTGGGTCCAGGGTTCTTCTGAGTTGAGTCAGTGTCTCTGACAGCTGCTCTGTGTCTGTTTTGAACTGAAAAAAGGTTGAGACATGTTCATGTTATTGTTTGAAATCATCTAAGCATGTTTTACTACTAGATCATGCCAGTAGCATCACATCTTCCAGTTGTTTCATTAACTACCTTTTTGAATTCATCGACATTGTCCAGATGGGTTTCCTGACAAATGCAGAGATTCAGGAACTTCTGCCACTCGTTCCTTACAGCCTCAGAATGGGTCTAAAAGTAAAGACCCATTATTATTATTATTACTACCCATTCAGCATTGGGCTGGATGAAATCTGAAGGCTGATTTAAGTACCTGTATTATTTCACTGGCTGGGTGGTTCAGTTCTATGAGTCGGTTACCTTCGTCCTGGAGTCTGATCACTTCACTCTCGTGGATCAAAAGACCATCGTTTTTAAAATTCTGATTGGGAGGAAATCAAGCACTCGTTATAATCAAATGTAAATGTAGTTTTCAAACCCACAGCTCCCCATGGTGATGTATAACACACATCCCTTGTCATGTCATAAACATAATCTCCAGCTTGTTTTTTAAGACTTCAGCTATTATCTGATTTCTTATAAATATATTGAAAAGCCACGTAAAACAGAATAAAGTGAGATTAAAATCAATATTGTTGTTCCGCATCCCATCAGTTCTGACCTCATACTGCCTACGAAGATGCGGTGGATCCACCATATGGTCGCTCCAGTCCTGCTTTGTGATCTTGTCCTGCTCTTCTTTAAAGAAGTTCAGTTCCTTCATGCAGCCCTGCATGTACTCGTAGAGGCTGTTCAGGTAGTGGCGGCGCCACTTGGAGTTGTCCTTGGAGACAAAGTCAAGATAACAAGAGTGAAAACTAAAATGTGTAAACATTTTCTTTCCTATTTCCCCTTTTAATAAAAAAAAATAAATAAAAAAGCAGACCAGATTGTTTAAAGAAAAATGTATCACCTCAACGTAAAATATATAAAAAAAAGGAAAACAAACTTACAAGCAGGTTGCTATATTGTTTCTTAAAGATGGCGTATTTCTCCTGCAAGACAAGGCAGTAACATATCCTGTTGGTTAAATATATTCACGCTCTTTGAACTTTTTTCACATTTTTCCCCAATGGAAAGTTATGGAGAAGCTTGAGCTGAGGTTATGCGCAGGGACAAGGTGAGGAGTCCACGGTAACTCTGGAGGAACTGCAGAGATCCACAGTTCAAGTGGGAAATTGTTGTAATGCATGTCACAAGTCTGGATTTATGAAAGACAACTGTTGTTAAAGACAATCTTAACAATTCTAGTCTGCAGGTTTTCACACACTATGTAGGGAATAAATTGGTACAGTCAAAGACCTAAATCCACTAAAGAAACTGTTGAAAGACTTGACCATTTTCTCTATACTCTCACTGTAATCAAACTGATTTTAGTTTAATTAGAAATATATTATTCTGAATACTATAATATCACGATGAATAGTACGTTGCGTTGGTGTCACACAGATTTTGTGGCCCTTTATGCTGCAAAATTTGAAAGATTTAGGAATTGCAGATGTTAAGTTGTGGGTTATGACGGCTAAGATGCTTAAGTGACTATTTTACAATCTGAAACCAGGGCTGACATATGGGAGTCAGATGTCAGAAGTTAGACGGGTATTCCTCAACAGCCGCTAAATGGATTGCCTGGGAATTTTGTTCAGGATAATCCACAGCAGACTTAGCCCCTAAACCCCAGAGGAACTTAGGAGCAAATTCCGCCTGATATTACATATATGAATTAAAGCAAGTACAGCTCCCAAACTATTAATTGGAAATACAATTGTTTGTATTTTTATAACAGAAAGGCTTTGAGGAATATTTTTCTGGTGGAACCACTTTTTTAATTGTCACCATGTTTGATTTATAGGTGATTAAACAAAGAAAAAATGAAAAGTAAATCTAGCCTCACCAATTTTTCCCCCCCAAAACAAACACTGCAAAACACCATGAAAGCCCATTTGAAACTCTGGATGAACCTCAGACTTTATAGATCCACATCTTAACTATAACTCAAGCAAAATTGGACTGAATAATTTGAAGCCTGTTTTTTCCACAAAGGTTTTAGTGGGCATTGAGCTAGGCGGAAATGTGATTTTGCACAATGCCAAAAATGCTTTTTTCCCACTCATAAAAGGGAATCTGGTCAGAAAAATATGCTGATTTACTTTATCTGAGACCTTCTACATGAGGCAAAGCCTTTGCTCCAAACATTTAGCCGTTGTTTCATTGAAATTTACCAAAAATATCACCTAACTGAATAGAAGATAAGAATAATAAAGCAAGTTTATGTAACGCACATCACCTGAAATGGGCGCACAATTACCTCTGACCCCTCCTTCGGCCATTATGGGGCGGGGCTAAAAATTAATACCTGTTGTTGCATTACTCCCGCAGAGTCACACATGTCAGGTGGAATTTTAAATCTCATTTTATTTGTTTACAGAGCAATAAAACAAAAAGTACTTGTGAAAACATAATTTTCATACATGTTTTAAACATTTTAAAGCCTGATTTGAAAGATGTGTGGATGAAACACCATGTGACTGTGTTATGGCCATTTCTATAAATAAATTAATATGATCAGGTATCAGTTGGGTCCTGTACCGGGCCCACAGAGCTTAAAGGATTAGATATCTTGGACCTGTTAAACGGGGCCAAGGAGTTAAAGGGGCGTGACTTAGCTTACTCGATAAAAGCAAAATCCATGCATTTCAAAATCTTGCCAAACCTTTCGTTTTGAGTAGAAGGATTTCTGACCTTGCTGCCAGATGAGCTGATACAAAGCTGGGAGCTGTAAGCTTTGATCTCTTTATGAAAGATGTTGTGAGCGCCGATCTGCTTCTCCAGTTCCACCATGGTTGGACCGTAGTCCTCCACATCCAACTTTTTCTGAAAGCAAAGGCAATAGAACACCTCAGCTGCTAAAACTTTGTCCAAACGATCTGTTATCGTGATGCCAGCTTCTTTAAACCATCAAGCTCTGGTGTTTCAGGGGATTCCCTTGTAATCTGCTCAGACTGTGTTTCTGCACTTACTTGCTTCTGATTCAAAATAGGCCCCCAGTTAATTCTGGGCAGCAATGACACATCGTCTATCTGGTCATAGACGTCTCTGTAGAAGGAACAGTCCTTCAACCATCGCTCGTGAAGGTGGATGATGCTAGGAATTTATTGAAACAGGAAACCGTCAATTAGACTATGGAAGTTAACCTTATATTTGCTATAAATGCTTTGTTATAAGCTTGTAAATCTCTATAACTGCCAGGAAGCAAGAAAAATAAGCAACATATTTCTCATGAATGGTGATAAATAAATGGTGACCATGCTTTTTGTGTGTTTTTTCTTTGGCCTCACTCTCTCTCAATCTCTTTGGCCTGCGGGTGTTTGAGCTTCTTGGCCTTATCAACGTCAAGAAAAAGGTCTTTGAGCAGGTTCTCTGCCTGGGACAGTTTGGTCGATATCTGACTTTGATGCTGGAAGGGGAGATCTCTCTTTTCATTTTCAGCATCCTGGTAAAAGAACATAACAGAAAACAAGATGGTTAATATTTGGGTATTTCATTCATAGATCATGGTATCAACAATAGCATGCCTAGAAAAGTTCTCAGATTTTATGATCAAACACAGGTCATGGGTCAAAGTCCCTACATGTTGGGCTCCACTAACATTTATACTGTTCATCAAAGGGTTGGACTGATGCTTTTTCTTGGGTGAGGAGTTTAAACTCAGGAGGGTTAAATCAGTTGTATCCTAACTTGGTTCTTGGATTCCATAAAGACAGAAAACACTTTGGACAATGGCCATTAAGGACCACGTCTGGGAACTCTGAGTAAGACCCGTTGGAAGGAGAATTGTGTTTGGTTTTCTGGGAATTGTGCAGTTAATTGTTCACTTACAAACGTAGGCATTAAATGAACAAGTTTGCTGAGCTTTTTCTATATAATAATCATGTTTTCATAAATTCTATTTAATACAGCTCAACAGGCAGAAGTCCAGACCCAATGATAAGTCAGAGTCTAAACCAAACAGAAAATGTAAAACATTTCCAGCAAATGTTGAATCTTTAATGAATATCTGCTCATAGTTTTACAGCCTTTATTGGTAAATCTGCCGGATGACATCATGCATGTCTTTCTGCTGATCTCCAATGATCTCGTGATGGGCTGTGTTAAGTCTAAACATCAGATCTCTAAATATTTCTATTTGAAACAAAGGGAGGGCTAGAAAACAAAATCTAAACATCATAGATGGAGCAACCAGATTGATGATATGCGTCGATACAGGGAAATGGATATGTGGTAGTGCATGCTGTTGTTCTCACCACAGCCAGCATCTCTTCTGACTTCAGGATGTCTTTCTCTACCTGGTCGGCATTAGTTTGCATCTTGGCGATCAGCAGAGCCAAGTTGCTGGCCTGGGACCTGCAGGGAGGAGGTCACAGGTTCAGATGAAAACTATGATTTAGATGGTTCAGTTTTGGCTCATTTTAAAACTCCAGAATCATCTGTCTGACAAACAGACCATCAAGTCAAACTAACAAGGTATTCTTAAAAGGCCATGATTGCGGCAAATCATAATTGGCCAAAAATCATGGCAAACTACAGACTTACATTCATGCAGATGAAAGGAGGTTAATTCAGTATCTTTGGGGCAACAGTAGAGTCGGACTACCCATGCAAGATGCCATGGGTAGTCTTCAAAAACCCTAAAATGGCATCAAAGGACCTAAACTAAGCTCATATCAGCCGATGGGTGTTAACCTGCTGCACAGCAAAGCAGAGACAGGACTCCCACAATTTACTTATGTAGGAGTCCTACCAGTGACTCTGCCAAAAATATGACCAAGGTGGAGACACTCACTTCCAGGATAGAATTAAGAGTCCATGAACATAGTCTAGAGAGGAGTGGAATCAATCAAAGACATTACTTCAAACCTGGGACAAGGTAGTGATTCCGTACAACTAATCCATTCCATGTGACTCCCCTTCCATCAACCATCTTTGAGGTAAAACCCCCGTCTCACCAATTGTTGTTGGTGTCCCAGCCCTTATTTTCAGGGGTAAAGAGTTCGGAAGCCTTGCAGCTGCAATTCAGGACCCTTGAGGCCTGAGGGAGAGGCTCTTGGACTATCTTGACACCTTAGATGGAGACCTCATGTACTGGAGTACTGGGCAGGTAGTTACTGGAAGCTAAGATGTAAGCCAGGAAGCAAGCTTGGGATGTACTGGAGCAGATTCTCACTCACTCTGGTGGAATAGGTTCAAGGCATTGGCTCAGAGGGTGCTTGCATGATATGGTTTTGATTTAAGTGACCTTGACATGGTGGTCAGCTGCAGGAATATGAAGAGGAACTATTGTGCCTTGGGTGACGTTTCGAAGACGAAACCTCTCCTTGGGTTTAATGCAGCCACAACTTTCTGGACTCTAGCACCACAGCTTGTTCCTATTTACACGGTGTATGTTTTATACCCTCATGTTCATCTGCTCATGTTGCCACTGTAAAATGTTAGCAGGTATGGAGACCCGCCAGAAGGCCTCTACTGAGAATCTCTGCAGTGTATTCAGATTGCGTGCTCAAATCAATGAATAACTTCTCCATCTACATACCAGTACAGGCAAAGATTATGGCTGTCTACCATCGACTCCCCTCTTTGTGTTGAGAGCCAAACGTTGTCTTCAATTTCATCTGTCCTGAACTCTAAGATGGTAAATGTGGTCGGAAAATTTAAATTTCTCTTATTTCATATATTGATTTATGCAAAGTGTAATTTTTTTCTGACTACGGTACTTTCCATTATTGTAAGTAAGGAGGAACGAACACCGCCCAGATCAGAACAGGGCTGATTACCGTGCAATAAGGGCCATAGGATGAACTGTTCTCTCTTTGCAAAGAAAAAAATAAAGTGCCGACTGAGTGAAACCCATCAATCTCAATTTATTTAGCTGGAGTGGATAGTTTAATTCTTGCTTTTCCCCACAACAGTAAACCAAGTGACTGTTTGCTTCTGCCAACCCGTACCTTTGGATCTTGTCACAATCTTTATGTTTCCTGGGTCAAAACTCTGTCCACATCATGATTTTTGTCTTCCCAAGACCCCATCCACCCATTGATGGGGGCCTTGCCAATAAAGTCAGATGCCTGTATGATTCTAGAAGCTGGGGTTAAAGTTTTCACCTCCTGATAAACTAGGGGGATACAGACCAAGGTAGAGCTCATGCACTAGCTTGGTACATCATGCACAGACCTTTCATCAAGGAGTTTTATTGTTCTCATCTGAAACAACTTGGGGGTCCTTCAGTAGCTTAACAAAAGGAAGGGCACTTTAAATGTGCACTTTTTGAGCATGTAATGGCTGTGATTTAACTAGGATTTCATGTCTCCCTGTTATTCCTGCCACATTTCTTTGCTTCAATCAACCCTATTCAGCTAACCTGTCCTATGTCTTATTGTCTTTCATTATGCAGCACTTTATAAAATCTTTCTAGTCTCTGTCTCTCTGTGCCAATAGAAAACTAGCATTCCTTCCCTGCCCTTTTTTTTCTCATTAAGATTGTCTTGTTTAAGGCCCGTTGATCAGGTATACCCAAGGGACTCAAGGGACCGCTGTCCTGCAGGTTTGTGGAACTTTCCCGCTTACTCCACCGCCCATTCTTATTGATTGTTGATTAACAGGCCTCGAGGACCGACTTTAGGCATGCCTTCCTTAGATTATTTCCTACTTGCTGAATTTCTCTTGATACCTGGACACCAACACCCACTTGAATTTCTGAAAGTAGTTCTCTACCTGATCTCTCTGCTATGTATAATTAAATTTGTCTCCTTATGAACGACCATTGCCAATTTATTGACAAAGAAATAGAAGTTTGAATTAAGATTTGAATTGTTACAATTTATTTTGACTGTGATGCCTTTGGTGTAATGTTGTATAGACGTAAGAGGACTGTTAAAAGGGTTTGTCTGCCTTGACACCCTCTCTCCAAACCTTCAGGCTGTTTTCCTTTGTTCCTTTCATTATCACTTCTTTGCATTGCTTTTAGACGATACCTCACCTGTACATCCACTAATATTTTCTATGACGTCAAATTAGGGAAACAGGAGTCTATAGCAACTCCCCAGGAGTGCTTTAGTCTTTTAAAGTTAATTATATCTACTTGGTTTAACTCCTATTCTCACTCATAGTGTTGCATTCAGGAAAATATTATGAAAGCATATGAACATTGTTTTCAGGTGGACCTGTAAGTGTTGCATGTAAAGGAAAGCTTTTTTGCATATGGCAAAAGATAAGCATTTAGATTCACGTCTATGACGCTGTGTTGAGCAGAAACATCAAAGGCTAAAGTTAGAGAAAAGAAACACACCCATATTTCTTATTCACTCACTTATATCACCACAATTTGCCCCCTGACCCACCCTGTGGGAGGTCTCTTTTGTCGATGTTGCATTATAATGATTGAGTTTATATCCGCTCAGGCTTTTTTATCTTTGTCTAAAACAGTCTGCTCTGCTGAGCTTTAAATATTTGAATTGTTGGATTAACCAGCAACATAAGAACACTTTCTAAAATGCTTACATTGGTGTTTAATTGTGTGTGAGATTGGCAGAAAGTTATAGGTCTGTGGGTGTGTTCTTGTAGTTGTTATGGAGGGGGATGCTTTTAAAAATCAAATTTCACCTCAACTCAACAATGTTTTCCAATAAACTACCTGTCCTAGATGGAGTGATATATAAGAGCAGCTAAAGGTAATGATCCAGAGACCAGCTCCACCTCGCCTTCTACCTGCTCACCCTTACAGTAATCTTAGCTGAAGTCTTTGTACCAGAACACTTGTTCATCATGTAGGGAGTTTCCTGAGAGCAAAAACAGTATATGCAGTGACTCACACCATGTCCAAATAACATTAGCACACACAACACACAGAACTCCCCTCCACTTGGTTAAAAAAGATAAAATGATAAGTAAAATAAGCAGCAGGAAGCACATAACAAGCAACAAAAACACTAACAGTGTTGACAGTTAACTCGATTATATAATGAGTGGTATGATGGAAACTTGGATGAGTCAAGTGATCAGTTACAGACGCTTCATCCCGTATAGAACAGCAGACAGTAGATGCAGGTAAGAGAAGGAAATCATACAGGTTTTTTTTCTTTTTTTTTAAATCAGACAAGAACAATGTTTTCTTCAAAATAACCCCATCTATTTTGGTATTTAATGCAAACCACAAGCAAAATCATTACAATTTATTGTAGAGACAGTTCAAGCTCTCACTGAGGGACTACAGAGTCAACACACTTTTTATCTATCTATCTATCTATCTATCTATCTATCTATCTATCTATCTATCTATCTATCTATCTATCTATCTATCTATATAATATGTTTTTATTAGTTATAGTTTTACAGTAGATGTTAAATTATTTCTGCTTTGAAATGACATTAGCAACCCAAAAGACAAAACGCCAAGGGGACTGATTAATAAAATAGGAAATCAAATCTTACTACCCATTAAGATAAATAAAGTCTTTGAGAAAACAGAATTTTAACCCCAACTATCATAGCTGACCAAATACTTTACAATTTTCAATTTCCATTGGTGTTGTTGGGGAGCATAATTCAGAGAGACTGAGGTTTAAAGATCTCTGCACCATCACCCTAATCTTTTGGTCACTGCAAAGATTTTTAAATCAGATGTAAGCGGGGATTCCTGCTTCTCTGATCTAAAACATTAATATTATTGTTAAAGGACACAAATTGGACAAAAAAAAGCCATTTTAAATTAAAATCCCGCAAAGAAAACCTTGGACTTATAATAAAACATGCTCTCTCTGACTCACTTTAAGGATCTGCAAAGTCAGATAAGAAACTTAAAGATTTAAAAAATGTTCTACTTATTAATAACATTTTTTGTTCCGCTTGATCTCCTCATATATACACACAGGCACTAAAGTAACTTCACACTAACTTCATTGTTGCAGGCTTTTTTAACCTTCTTTATTTAGCTGGAGATGAGGCATGGATTGAACAGTTAGAAACCAGCAGCACATTCAGGAAACATGAAACACATTCCGATTCTGGAAAAGCAATCGGAAACCAGGATTCATGTATATCAGACATTTCTGCATGGATAAATAATTATTTAGAAGAAAAACTCACTTGCTGATCTTGCTTGAGCTCTTTGGGGAGCCATCTTTGGTCTCCTTCAGCTTTGACATTGTGGAAATCCCACATTAGCTTCTCCCTCTCAGTTGCAAACCTCCTTTGTTTCCGTCTTTTTCACTGGGTCCTGCTTTATCGCTCCTCTCTCTGTGGTCCTTCTTAAACAGACACAAACACTCTGACATATGAGCCAGTATGGCTCCAAACACTGCTGACTCCTCCCAGACAGGGTAACAGGTGTGTTAACACCCAGATATCCTCCTTGTGGAGGAAGACCAGACTGACCTGTTCTCCACACTGTCCTTCTGTTTCTCCTGCTCTTTGTTTACCCTTCATAGGGGTCCATGCTAATCGTAGACTACTTACCAACCTTTACCTTTTTAGGAAACAAAGAAATGAATTAAGTCTAATTCTTTGACGCTTCTCTACTGTAAGCCTTACTTACTGTGCAGCTCTGGAACTACAAATAGGTTGTTAATATTAATATTACTAGCAATACTACAACACATCTCAGTAGAAGCAGTGGCTTTATAAAAAGTCTATCCCTGATCTGAGGGGCGGCCTAATTCTGATAAAAATAAATAAAAATGTTTCTATTGTGAAAATGAAATGAAGGCACTTTACGTTTCACACTTAGCATGCTTGTGGCGACGGTGGA